ATCTGCAAGCAGCAGACTCCTAATTTATAATGAGCGAATGTTGCGAAATAAATGATTGAATTGAAATTCGTTTTTTTTCCACCCAAATTCCATTCTTGCAATTAAACAAACCCTTACTGATTGTTAATATTTTTTACCCCACGAGTAAATTTTTTTGGAAAACCACAAAGGAGGCATAGCCAATTTAAACAAATGATAGATTAAAGGATGGCATAACAGTATGTCAAGTGCGTTTACTCCACTCCCAAAAACCTTTTTTTTTTTTTTTTGAAAAAAATAATCTTCAATTAAAGATTTCTGCATTGATTACAGTAAATTAGAATTACCTACAATATTTTATAATGAGAACCTATATTTATTTTCTTTCCTTTTTGATAAATTCCACCTATCCTAATAAACACTGTAGTTATTAATATTATACAGGATCTTATGGTTTTACATATGCAGGAATCTGATATTAGAGACAGCAAAGAACCTAACAACAGGGCTGGGATGCTAGGTACTAAATCGTGACAATCCGCACATGGAACACTAGCCAATAACTTTGATACACGTCACAGTGTAACTGGTAGAGCTTTAAATTTGAGGAAAAACTAATTGGAGATTTAAAAAATTCCATTAGCTCCAATTATAGGCTTCATATTTTTGCTACCGTGAGTAACATTAAGGCTTTCTTCATAATAGTAGTAAAATGATGGTGGAAAAGCAATGTCTTTGAAAACCAAACCAAATAAAGGATCAAAGGTTGAACTAGTTTAAACCAGGGGCGAACCACAAATATATTTAGATATATAAATATACTGGAAAATTTTGACAAAAATATATTATTTTAATTTTGAATTAAACATGTAGACAAAATCATTTACTAAACTTGATTGCATTTATTTTATTATGTCCACTTCTAATATCAACGGAAAATATGATGAAGACAAAATATTAATAGTTGAATCTTTAAAAATTTATATGGGATTATAATGTACTCTCAAAATAAAATTCAATGAGAAAATATAGAAAATTAGAATATAAAAATAAATTAAAAAAGAAATAAAGAAAAAATTATCCCACTTTGTTAAACAAATACACCATCAATTGGTTAAATGAAGGTATTCCTTTTATAGTAAAAAAAGCTATCCAACATAGATTTCCCTGAAAAGAAGGCTAAAGAAATGTAAAAGGAGCGGGCCAACCGGCCAAGAATGAATAATGCATCCCTTTTAGATCCCTTGAAAAAATGGAAAACTTCATTCAAGGATACAAGATTTGCAAAAGAGACCACAAAAGACTCGCATTCCACATCCACAAAAGACTTGCATTCCACATCATATTGAGGAGACAACATAAATAAATCACCGTGTACCCTCTCTACGAGCTTAAAATTTAGATGAGATGGTTGAAGGATCGGAATCATGCAAAAGATTTGAGTTCAAATCTCGCAACCACTCTCTTGTAAAAACAAAAGCTTTACATGTGAGGAGGCGTATTGAAAACACAATTCAAATAAATCAATGTTCATCTTGTTTAACGGCTGAAGCTTCTAGATGATATGCTTCACTCTTTCATTGTCAACCACGCTCTTTCGGACGTTTGGGAACTTGCTTCAAAAGGTATATAAACTGTTTAGACATTTCACATTTGTGGACTTCGAAAACCTCGTTGATGGAAATTTGAAGAGACGAGTTGGAGAGTTTTGATCAGTATGCTCAATTTTTAGTTAAATAAAAATAAAAGAAAAAAATAACAAAAATGTAAGAACTCAACAGGATATCTGAAAATAAGTAATTAACAAGACCCTACCATCTGCAAAAATACCATAATATAGTTAAAAAATCTCTGGATATTGACATGGATTAAAAGGGTATGACTGAGGCTCCACTCAGTCTTATGTGGTCATATGAAGTACTGAGGCGTGAATTTTTTGAGGGCAGAATGAGGCTTATACGTTTAGTTGAGGAGCACGCCTCTCCTTAGTTATCTCGGAAACCCTTTAAATAATAATAATAATAATAATAATAATAATAATAATAATAATAATAATAATAAATCTCATATTTTTATTAATTGACTTCGCTT